TTCATTAAAATTAATAAAATAAAATTAAAAAAGAAATGACTGGATAAATTAGATGAAGACAAGGGCAATATACACTAAGAAATTGGTCACACAGGGTAATGGATTCTATGACTCAATTGGGATTCATGTTGTCAAAGGGTGTTATCTGGTAGATAAGAGGTAAGGTGTTCAGTTGCTGATACAAAGGTAGGTAGTTCAAATCCACCATCACCTCTGAAGAACATTTACCTCCCAGGCCACCCCTGTCAGCTGTGCATCGATTGTGGCCTTAACAGACATAATGACAATGTTGCAAAATTGCCATCTCCTAAAACACATTTTTTTAAAATATTTCCCACCAAAAAATTGTGCATTCTAATGTCTGGAGGAAGATCCTGTTTTTGCTTTTATATCCCCGGAGAGCATCGATGCTGAAAGGCATGGATCTCACCCTCCTCAGGCCCCCCACTGCCTGATCCCACCTTCCCCTCAAAGCTCACCTGTGCATGGGTGATAAGATAAGTTTCAAAGTTCTTGACCTGGCATTCCTCCTCCATCACATTCCGTGTGCTATTCCATCTCAAGGCTTTCCGCTTTGCATCCAAATGTACATTCCAGACACAAGACACGTTCTTCTGCTCAGCTGTTTGAAGGTGTCGACGCTGAGTGAGACCTGAGAATCCAGGTGCTGGAGGCTCTGAAACACCAGAGAGACAACATCACACTTCTTTGGGTTTTTTTTTTTAACGTGCCTTCAAATCCCTTCAAGACTTAAGACCTCACATGGCAGAGGACAAGTTTTCCCAAGCTGTCCTCTTTAAGACAGCTCATTTCAAAGATAACAAAAAAGTAAAAAAGAAAAAAAAAAGACAGCTCATTTCCAGATAATTTCCTCCATGGCTCCAATCTGTGGGTTCAAACCACCCACCTTGAGGGCCATGGGCTTTGGTAAATTATTTTTGTCCCCTTTTTATAGACACAGGGTTGAGATAATCCCCTAGACAGGCTCTTTCTAAATGATTAGAAACATTGTATCAGTCAAAAGTCCCCCTTGAAACAATATATCACCTGGAGACATTGCTGTCTGACCCAGCCTTACAAGGGGCCCTTTAGGTAACTGAAGGTGGGAAACTTAAAATAAGAACAGAGATAAAGGTGTTGGTGACAGAGTTACGATAGTGACACACAGAGAGATGAGAAGTGCCCCTTAGCATATCCCAAGCTGCTGTTTGATTATCGACAGCATGTAATCAGATCTTTCTCCTTTGGAGGCACTGGTGGTTCGAACTGGCAACCTTTTGGATAGCATCCAAGGAGACTTTTATCCCTGTTGTCACTATTATTGTTATGAGATGACATCGAATTGAGTATGACGTGTAATGACCCTGTGAGCAGCGCATCTGAATGATGTCCTGTCTAGCTCCATCCCCACCTTCTCCGACACGTTCGCGCCCAAGGCTGTGGTCACTGTGTCCATGCACCTGGTGGACAGTCTTTCTTTCTTCTCTGAACTTCCATCTTTGTCCCTATGAATCCGCGTGTATGTGTGTGTGTGTGTGTGTGTGTGTGTGTGTATACGTTCAAGATCTGACTTTCTACTGAATAAATAAAGATCTCTCCCAAGTATTGAAGAGCAATGATATTAGTTCAAAGACTAAGGTGTGGCTGATTCAGGACATTCAATCACTTGTCAGAGTGTGAGGACATCTAGTTCTGTAAAGATTCCCAGCCTCAGAAACCCCATGAGTCAGCTCTGCTCTGTCCTGCAGGGTCTCTGAGATTTAATTCACTTGATAATAGTGGATTACTCCCTTGCAATAAGTAATCTTCGTTCCCTGAATTACAGTAGCCTCTTCTGTGTAACTTGGAGCCTGTTTCTCTTTGCTTTTACCATCTTCTTCACTCACTGGGGTCCCGCTTTCATCTTGTCTCAGCCCCTGATGTAAGAAAGGGTGTCCATACCTACCCTGGTTCTCCTCTGCTTGGCAGCAAGCTGAAGCCAGCAACACCCAGAACCATACCATGCTGTTGCTCTGACCAGAACCTGAAATAACCAAAGAAAGGACATCCCATCAGAGACCAGTGCTGTCTTAGGATCTAAAACTACTATCTCAGAGGCCCTGTGCTGTCTTATTCATACAAACTACCTACACGAAAGATACCAAAAGGGGGTGACACTCATAAAAAGAAATTTATTTTCTCACTGTTTCATAGTCTCAATCCAGGTCACCAGCTGCAGGGGAAAGCTTCCTCTCTTGATGTGTCTCCTGAGTCTAGGATGTTCCGATCATCGCTGAGACCAGAGTAAAGGGTTTCACATTCCACCTTTATTCTCTTATAGCTAATTCTGTGATCATTTTTCAGATTCTATCGTTGGAGCGATGACATCATTCTCCAACTGCCACATAACATCATTTCATTCTCTGCCCAGAACAATCGTGGCCCAGACTAGAAGACTCTATTCCATTTTTGGGGAAACACAGCTTATTCTCCCCAGGGTCCTATGGTACATCTGGTCTAGTTTTTTCTTGTTACAACAACAGAAACACCAAAAGGGAGTGGCGTTCACAGACAGACATTTATTTTCTCACCATTTAGGAGGCTGCAGTCTGAATTGAATGTACCAGGTTTGGAGGAATACTACCACAATCCCTCTCTGTGTCCCCTGGGTCTAGTAGATTCATAGCACACTGACACATTCATTCCTGAATCTTTTCTTTTGGTGAGACTGGTGTCCGCTGTCTCTGTTCATGTCTCTCTCCTCTATCTCTTAGAACGCAAGAGGTGATGGAGAATTAAGCCTCTGACATCTGATCTGTGACTGGGGTGAGGGTATTTCCCCTTAGACCTCACCTTGTTACAATGTATCAATCATGTTTCAGTTTGCATCATGGAGAGTAAGTATGTATAATTTTGTAACTGCTTCTCATCCTGGAATTTCCTTGTGATATCAGCCCTCCAAAACACAACATCTGCTGCTTGTATTTAAAATACCAGGAGGGTCACCAAGGATGAACAGGTTTCAGCAAAAACTTCCTGTCTAAGAGAACAATTTGGAATACAGGCCTGATCTTTCTGTAAAATTATCTGTCCTTTGAAGAGTCCACTGCACAAAATGGTCAGCTCTGCCTTGCATCACCGGGATTAGGCAAATCCAGGAACTGTGAGACCATGTAATTGTCCAGTTAGGACTTGGTGACCGCTAACAATAACAACCACCACCACCACCACCACAATAACTGCAGTCACAGATGGTGTCCACTTACCTGCTGACCAACGCTGGCAGGCACTGCTCCGGGACACTGTCTGTCTGGGCTGTCTGTTCGTCGTGGACAGAGCAATGCTGGTCCTGGGGGTGGGGGGAAGGACAGGAGTCCTGGGGTCACTTCAGGGCTCCTAGTCCGAGAGGAGCCAGCAGAACTCAACTCCTGAGACAGGAAGCCATCAGAGGACAGACACTGTCCACGTCGCCACCAACTCTTCTCAGTCTGAAGGCCTCCTGGCCGGGCCGGCGTCCACCACAGGTCTGAGAAAGTTGTCACACGCTTCTTCCTCTCTCCCCCCACCATGGTCTGGCCGCTGCGTTATCATCGACCATAGCAGGAAGTGAGATGTCCCCTCCGCTGACCACTCCGTTATCATCTCTCGACACCCAGAATGTCCCCCTTTCTCTCCACTTCAGTTCCCACCTGCTCTTGGCCTTGACCGGACCCCACTGAGCAGACCCCAATTCCCTCCTTTCTCTCCGGAGCAGAGGTAACAGAGTATAAATTCAGGAATAGACATCCCTAAGGGTTGTACCCTCCCCCCATACCTCCTCCACCTGTGTGTGGAGCAGTTTATTTGAGAAGCTGGATTCTGGGAAGGGGAATGTGACATCAGGATTGGAGGAAGATTCATCAACCATCTGCGTTATGCAGATGACACAATCTTGCTTGCTGAAACTGAGGAGGGCCTGAAGCGCTTGCTGCAGAAGGCCAAAGTCTTTCAGACGGATTGCATCTCATCATGGAAAAGACACAAATCCTCACCACTGAGCCAGGAGGCAGTGTGATATTTCAAACATAAGACAGACAAAGGAAACAATATGAATGAAATATACATTTTGTGTGTGTGTATATACACACACATTGTATATATAGTAT